CTCTTTTTCATGGTTCAATCTCCCTCTTCTTGTCATTTTTCTTCAATGTTTTAGCGTCAACCAAAGCCAATACAAAATTCTTTGATTATGTGATTTATCCATTTCTTCTTCCGAACTTCTGTCACCAAATGATTGGGCAATCCAAGTTAAAAAAAAAATAATAGCAATAATGAAATTATTAAAATAGCACCACCCCCCCCCATGATAATGAATTTTATTGCTTTGAGATCAGGACCGTTGATTAGGTGGTCCATTTTAAACGGTTCAGATTTCGTGTCTTCGACTCTTTTAATTCGCCGTGAGGTTACTATCACCGAGAGTACCATCAGTAGGCGACGAACGAGGGAGGAGAAGAAGAAGCTTCTCTTCTTCACAGGCGGATCTAATTTTTGAATCTTTGTCGGAGCTTTTTTTCTGTGAATCATCAATGGGTTTGTGGGAAGCTTTTCTCAATTGGCTTCGTAGGTGATAGCTCTTCTTTTGTTTTCTGGTTACTTTCCTTGAGCTGCAAAATTTTTGGATTTTAAATTGAAATTATGAGTTTTCTGGATTCAAATTTGGTCTGTGAAGCTGATTGCGACAAAACTTATAATTATCGAAGCAGATTCTGCTATTTTCCATTCCTTTTAAAGAAACAAATTCTTGTTTTCTATATGTGACCTTGAAAAATATGTCTTTTCGATTTTGATTGCCAAGTTTATGTTTTTAGGCAATTGACATTAAGGGAAAGAGAGAATCTTTCTTTGATATAGAACTCTTAAAAGAGAAACAAAACTACTTATGTGATTGATTTGGTTTTTTTTTAGTTAGCACATGAGGTTCTACGTAAGAATGAGAGAGTATGTATCTTGCAACTGAGCACTGTGATTAACCTGGTTTGTGAATGATTGGTGTAACTTCAAATCTAGTTGGAAAAATGCGTTTTTACAAGGCACATAGTGTAGAACAAAGTTCTATAAACCTCAAATATTGCGGGAAGATTGGTTCTGTTGGTTGACAATTATTATGTCTCTCTATGCTCTGTTTGTAACCTGAGACAAAAAGTTTCGATTCCGGTATATATTGAGTGGACTTATTCGCTTTGTTTGCTTCGATATGCTTATGCAGCCTTTTCTTCAAGCAAGAAATGGAGCTTTCTTTGATCGGACTTCAAAATGCAGGGAAAACATCACTTGTAAATGTTGTTGCAGTAAGTATGCTTCCCTTTTAGATTATTCTCTTAACATTTAGTTGATGGTGGTAATTCGGGATCTGATAACTACTCTTATCTGTTTTCTTGTTTAGACTGGTGGATACAGCGAAGACATGATTCCTACGGTAAGCGTTGACCTTACATAACATTCTTCTTAAAAATCATCAATACCCGCTTTTTGGGATAACATAAAGAGA